GAGCCATCCTTCCTGAACTAAGGCAAAAATGTGTGAGCCGGAGGCTAAAAAACTGTGAGCTAGCAGACACTAACTCAACTTAGAGGGAACACTGCCCATTGCTACAGTGGGGCATTTTAAAAACCCTTTAAAAACAGGCATTCAGATGAACTTACTTAACTGATGTTTAACTGTCCCCTTAAAAATTTAAATACCCCCTGAACCAAAAATCCTGGCTACAGGCCTGCATTGGGCAGTGGTTTTGTCTGGTTAAGCTACTATAAGAGCTAAGTGGGGGGATTTCACCTACCACATGCAACAAAACAAATATAACTTTAAACAAAAAAACCCAAAAAAACAAGCATTGCCTCACAGTGATGTAAGCTGGCCAGAGAGCTGGGACATCTTGCAACAGGCTGTGTTGCAAATGATTCGTTCTGTTCTTCTTCTCATCCTTTCCTGTGTCTTTGAGGTTCTGAGTGCCCTCTTTGCCCTCACTGGGCTCTGAGCATTTTGAGAGTGTTCAGTCCTTACAGCATCTAATGCATCCTGTTGACAATATTTTATTCCTGGCAAATGATTTCTAAAACTCATGCTGCAAAATTGCTCCACAGAGGAAATATTATCCTCCTGTGGTTAATGACAGAAGTTGATTTTTTTTCCCCTTTCTCTGCTTTCTGTTTGATTTTTTCCCCCACTCTTTGTCCTCTTCTGTCTCTCCACATTCTGACCAAATGAGAGATTCTTGTATGTTTTCCGAGGATAAATTTTAAAAGCTGGTTATACCTCCCCAAGAATAATAAAGCTATAGTTCTTCTTTTTTTCTGGAGGTGTTGTCTAGTTGCCTTTTGGGGAAGTTTAAGGGAATGCCTTTTAAAAATGTCGTTAGCATCTTACCCAAGGTACTACAGACTTCTTCAGATTTTAGACTCCCCTGGCCTTCCATAAATCAACAGTGCAATCCTTTGCAGAGTTTACCCCAGTTTAAATCCATTGCACTGTAACAGTGAAGTCCTAAACAGCCGTCCAGTGGCAGTTGAACACTAACAAAAAATGTACTCTACTGAGGTGGCTCAAGTGGTTAAGATGCTGAACTGCAGGCTGTGGAAGGTTGGTAGTTCAGCAGTTTGAGACCCGAGTGTGCCACATGATGGAGTGAGCTCCCGTCTCTAGTTCCAGCTCCTGCCAACCTAGCAGTTCGAAAGCAAGAAATTGCAAGTAGATAAATAGGTACCACTTCAGTGGGGAGGTAACAGTGTTCCGTGTGCCTTGGTGTTTAGTCATGCTGGCCACATGACCACAGAAATGTCTTTGGACAGAGCTGGCTCTTCGGCTTTGAAATGGAGATGAGCACCGCAACCCTAGAGTCAGATTCGACTGGCTTTCGAGCAAGGGAACATTTACCTTTTACTGGAATAAACTGTCTTCATTTTTAAGGTGCTGTTAGGCTCCTGTTTAATCTTGCTACAATGGATAAACACAACTAAACCTCTGGAATTAATAGTACAATGCTAGGCACTTTTGTGTGGGAGAAAGCTCCACTGAATACAGTGGAATTTGCTTCTGAGTAAACCTGCATAGGTTTGTCTTGTATATCTCTGAAGTGGAGGGGAGAGCAAATCTATCTTGATCGTAGTGCTGATCTATGCAAACTCACACACATGGGCACAGAAGACAGTTCTACAGTGGCACCATTGTGATAGATTGACTCCATTGATTCAATGCATCTCAATGGTGCTGCTATAGCACTATAGCGCTCATCTTGGAACATTTTTTTAAAGTCCGGGGAAGATCACATGGTGAACAAGGGTGGGGGGGAAGTGGCACTGTTTGGAAGGGCCATAGTGCTTCAGAGATGGCTCATTAACAGAAGGATACTGGCTGTGTGAAACCTCCATCCCTGTATCATTTCACTCAAAACCGGGCTGACAACGAATAACATCTGGTTTAGGACAGTAATGTGAACAGGACCTGAGACAAAATCCCTCCAGTCTTTCTTTCTCTGAAGGTTGAGACCCTATCTGCCTGATCTGACAGTCACAGCTTTTTCTCTCTCGTTCCTCCCTCCCATCCAACCCTTCTAGCTTTTCCAGGGATCCTGATTGGCTGTCAGCTGCTCTGCTCTCACACCAAATGGGGCTAAAAAGGACTGGTGTGTTTCATTACTTCCATTATAAGAACATAAGAACATAAGAGACGCCAATGTTGGATCAGGCCAAAGGCCCATCCAGTCCAACACTCTGTGTCACACATTGGCCAGAAATACCAGTGCCATCAGGAGGTCCACCAGTGGGGCCTGGACATTAGAAGCCCTCCCACTGTTGACCACCAAGAAGACAGAGCATCACTTGCCCCAGAGCCCCTAGCTATACCTTGTGGCTAATAGCCACTGATGGACCTCTGCTCCATATGCTTATCTAATTCCCTTTTGAAGCCGTCCATGCTTGTAGCCGCCACCACTTCCTGTGGCAGTGAATTCCAAGTGTTAATCACTCTTTGGGTGAAGAAGTACTTCCTTCTATCCGTTCTAACCCGACCGCTCAGCAATTTCATGGAGTGCCCACGAGTTCTTGTATTGTGAGAAAGGGAGAAAAGTACCTCTTTCTCTACCTGCTCTTTCCCATGCATAATCTTATAAACCTCAATCATGTCACCCCTCAGTCGTCGTTTCTCCAAGCTAAAGAGCCCTAAGCGCTTTAACCTTTCCTCATAGGGAAAGTGTTCCAACCCTTTTATCATTCGAGTTGCCCTTTTCTGCACTTTTCCCAAAGCTATAATATCCTTTTTAAGGTGTGGTGACCAGAACTGCACACAGTTTTCCAAATGAGGTCGCACCATTGATTTATATAGGGGCATTATGATATTGGCTGATCTGTTTTCAGTACCCTTCCTAATAATCCCCAGCATAGCATTGGCCTTCTTTATTGCAGTCCCACACTGTCTCACACATTACTGCGCCTGAACAGCCAGTGGGAAGAGGTACATTCTGCACCCCATTGTGGAAGTGATGGCCGGCTTCATTGGTGCAGCACCACCCAGGGCTGCCATTTTCTGTGGCCCTCAGACAGGTACTAGAGCCTGCTTCCACTACTGACCACAGTGCTGCTGTCAGTCCCATTGATGGGGAAAAGCAGACGGGCAAAGTGTTTTGGCATCTGATCCCAGCACTGCAGGAGGACTGGCCTGGCTCCACACAGAGTGATTGGTCCACCCATTAGGCCTTTTGGTCCCCTCCAGTTCAGGCACCCTAGCCAATCACCTAGGGCAGCCTACTGGATAGTCTTGTACTGCATTTGCACAGTGCCTAAGGTAGGGTTCTCAGCCTCCAGGTAGGGCATGGAGATCTCCAGAAAAAGAGATCAGTTCCCCTGGAGAAAATGGAGGGTGAACCCTGCCGAGGCCCCTCCCCTCCCCAAACCCCGCCCTACCCAGGCTCCACCCCCAAAATCTCCAGGTATTTCACAGTCCAGCACTGGCAACCCTAGCGTAGGGCATTCCTCTTTTAAAATATAAATTTACTATGCATTCTGCTCAAGGCTATCACTATATGAGCAGGCAGACCGACAGACAGACGGACGGACGGACAGACAGACAGACAGACAGATACAATTTACTATGCTTTGACTGAGACTTGACATGGAAAACAACTTCTTGGATTAATTTCTCAAGAGTTCTGGTTCAAGTTAAGCTTTTCAGTGCCCAAACCAAACGTCAGGTATCCTTTTGATGGGCCTGTTGTCTCAGACAGCAGGGAAAAGGGAGGAACTATTTTCCAAGACTTGGCAACTCAATCGCTTGTAGAATGATGAACAATAAAAGATTGCAGGATGCTGGCTCCTACATAGGAAGTTCTGTGGTTGGGTTGCCAACCTCCAGGTGGGCCCTGGCATTCTCTCAGAGATCAGTTCCCTTGGAGAAAAGGGCAGTTTTGGAAGGCAGACACAGTGGCATCACATCCTGCTAAGCTCCCTCCCCAAACATCTCCCTTCTCTTGACCTGCCCCCAGTCTCCAAGAATTTCCCTATTTCTGTAGCATCATGAAGTGACACAGGGTGAGGCAAACTGATGCAGTCTGTTATACATTTGTTGGGTCCACTGACCGCCACCGGAGGTATTCATGATGCATGAATCAGGAGTTGGAAGGATATTAACAGACCCAGAAAATATCATGGAGCAAGAAGATATCATGGAGTCCAGTAGCCCCTTGAAGACAAATAAGATTTCCAGGGTAGAAGCTTTCAAGACTCTAAGCTCCCTTTGTTGGATGTGGAGCTCTAGTTGGTCTTTAAGGAAGTACTTCTTCAACCAAAAAGTAATTAAGATGTGGAATTCACTGCCACAGGAAGTGGTGGTGGCTACAAGCATAGACAGCTTCAAGGGTGGATTAGATAAACATATGGAGTAGAGATCCATCAGTGACTATTAGCCACAAGGTATAGATAGAATGCTATGTTTGGGGCTGTGAAGCTCCATACCCCTTTCACATTCACAGAAATGTCTCTGTTTTCATCTGTAAAATGTTGGAGGGTATGTAAACCATCTCATTTTTTGCCATAGTTCTAGGGTTGCCATGAGTTAGCTGCTACTTGACAACACACTACCATCATCGTTATTGTAATGTGAACCTCGACCAGCTACTGCTTATCAATGGCGTGAATCAGCGGCTGGAGTCTTAACAGCTTCCAAACAGAAAGAAATTAGTTCAGTGGATACTAGAGGCCCTCACTGGAATATAACTATGTTTTTATTAAAGTGGCAAGATGCTACAGCAAGAAAGTAAAATCAGAGGCCATTTTAAAAAGTCAGCCCAGAACTTTTTTTTTTTAAGAATGCTATTTATTGGCTGTAAACGTGATTACAAAAACAGGGCTTTGCATTCAGTAGTATTGTGACAGCTTCCACTGATGTGTCTGTCTGGTTTTGCTTATCAGAGCATGATAAACTATGAGTCAACCAACAGCTGGTTTCATGAAATGTAAAACACAAGGAAGCTCAAAAACAACATTATTTAGAAGGGGGGAGAGAGAGAATCTTCCTCATTCATCTCATCTCTTAAACAAAGAAAGTTCGGGTTTAGGATGAAGAGCCCTCTCTTTTTGTTACTGTCTGTCAGTTTTTCTTATGCATTTCCCACACATCCAGGAAACAGGAATGAAGAACAAAATATGCAGCTTTTACAGGTAACTGCAGTGATCACTGTTGAGAAATGTTGAAGCCTCTTCTTGTGTGTCTGCGTGTGTTATAACACCAGGGCCTGTTCACCACAGGGAAGGCTGAAGCATATCAATCTTTCTGGTACCTTTTGGTGGAAGGGCTAAGAATCCGTGGCTGAACAGGGGCTTCTGTTAATAACTGCGTTTAAATGTGTGTGTGTGTATACTTGTCTTGCTTCTAACAGGGATGCCAGGCTGCTGCCTGGTACTCCCGGAAACTTTGGGAGTGGGGCAAAGAGGTAGCAGTAACATTGTATGGTACTTAAGTGTCATGCCCAAGCAAAAGCCCAGCTGTATCGACCAACATTCTGGAAATTCTATGGTATTTCCACAGAGTTTCCAGAGCATTGGCTGATGCGCTGACATTATTTCCAGGTTTTTGCCTAGATGTGACATTGACATTTCACGTGTCATCATTCCCCCACCCCCATTCCTCCCACTGGCGTGGAGGCAAGGGCAGGTAGGAGACCTCAGCCAGTAGGGGAATGTCTACCAGAAGTAGGCAGATGGCATATCTGCTTCTAAATATTGAGAACTATTGGTGTGGCTAAAAATGGGAGCAGAAATCAATGATCACACCTCCATCTAGGGTTGCCAGCTCTGGGTTGGAAAATACCTGGAGACTTTGGGGGGTGGATCCAGGAGAGTGGGGTTTGGGGATGGGCGGGATCTCAGCATGGTACAATGACATAGAGTCCACCCTTCAGAGCAGCCATTTTCTCCAGGGGAGCTGCTCTCTGTAAGCTGGAGATCAGTTGTAAAAGTGGGGGGTCTCCAGGCCCCACCTGGGGGCTGGAAACCCTGCCTCCATCCTAAACTCAATAGGCAGTCAGACTTCTCACAGCGTTCCAGTCTCCTGCCATATAGGTATCGTTCTAGTTTGACTTACTGTGCTTCAGAGTGGATTTCTGAGGTGATATATTACCCAAAGGGAGGACAACCATGGCAGTAAGATGACCCCCCCTCAAAAAGTTAATACATAAAGGGTTTTGTATTTGTGTATAGAATTGTAACTTTCATGTGGATTGAAGATGGCATCCTCTTTTTCTTGACAGTCGGATAGTCTTTTTGTCAGGTAACTAAGCTATTTTTTGAACCAGACTTAAGACTCAAGTGAAGTGGAGTGTTGTTGATTGGATAGTCTTTTTGTCAGCTATGTTTTTGTCAGCTATGTTTTGAACCAGACTGAAGACTCAAGTGAAGTGGAGTGTTGTTGACATGTTAGACTAGGACCAAAGAGATCAGGGCTCATATTCCTACTCTGGCATATACCTTACCAGGTGATCTTGGGCCAGTTGCTCTTGCTCATTGTAACCTACCTCTCAGGGTTATTGTGAGGATAAGATTAGTGAAAACTATGTAAGCTGCCATAAATGCCTTTGAATAAAGGCTGGATAGATTAACAGAGGGACAGAGAGATGTAAGTACTGTTGTTATTGATTCTTAGGGTATAAAATAGATTAACAATGCGGTCAAAAGGGAGAATTTCTTTAAAACAAAGCAGCCTTAAAAGAGGTGGGCACTGTTCATTTTTAGAATACATAAGTGAATTCAACAGGGCTGTCAAATAATAAAAGTGGAAAGATTTGTTTTCTATGCAACTTATTTGTAAAAAAAGAAATAGTGTCTTGTTGCTTTAAAATGCAGGATTCTCAGTGCAGAAAATTATCAGGGGTTGGATCCAGTGATGCATGATCAGAAACCCAAATTCAGTGCAATTCCACTCCTGCAAAGCAATAGTGCTAGATCTCCTGCAATAACTGCAGTTACTTGCACACAGTGTCTTGCAGAAGCAGAAATGCAAATTGGAGTACAATAAGCTGACTGGTGTAAGCTACCAGCACAGTCTACACAGTCCTTTATATTTTCACTTGTACAAGGGCACTAAGTGCACAGGGAAATGTTCCCCTGGATCCAACCCAAGTTCCTTGTCAAGTTTTTCTTTCCTTTACCGAATTCCCCTAGGACCAGTAATAAGTGTATACCTTTCTTTTTTATATAAGGAATACCTAGAACAGTTCTATGAACTAGAACATGAACCAAAGCCACGAGCCTGGAAAAGCAGCAATTCCTTAGAGGGCAAAATCCGACAAATGCAAGAATTTTTTCGGCTGAATGTGACGGGAAAGGCAGATGCTGACACATTAGCTGTTATGCAGCAACCAAGATGTGGCATGCCAGATATCGCTAGCTTTGCTTTGGCTCTCCCTGGATGGAGTAAAACCAAGCTTACATACAGGTAAATCATCCGGTGCCAAATGAAATGTGATTTTGAATCAAAGCCTATTCCTCAAAAGATATACAGAGTGGGTTTCAAAGAATGCCCAGAAATGTTTTCTTTCTGCTTGTTATGCATTTGCATGACTATTACACAACCTGTGGAATTAATGGTCATTGTCAGAATGGAGCTCTGGATTTATCTGGGCAAAGTAGGAGCCTAATGGATAGATACTTTGGGTACCCAGGATTTCTCGACTTTAATTCCTAGCATGGAATTTAAGAACCTGAACACTCCAACTTTCCATGAGGAATGAAAAAAGTTTCAATGAGGAAATTAGTCCTCTGTTATAGAGATAAAATGGAAAACAAGTCCTAGGGAATCTCTTAACTCAGCAGGAGGCTGAGGCTTGGGGCGTGTCAAACCCTGCTACGCTTTGCTTGCTTTGGTTGCCATTGTTGCTGGGGGGAGGGAACTCCTAAGGGGAGGGGGTGGAGTGAATGAGTGTGAAATTGAGACCTTTCGCTTTTAGGAGACAGAACTTCACAAGCCAACCTCCTTTCCCTCCTTTTCCTTTCCCAGGGCAAGGTGTCCTTGAGAGACTCTCTGTACCAACTTGGACTGCAGATAACCAAGACATATATCTTTCACTAGGTTGGGATGGCAATGTTAGGCGTGGTGTGAATGAGACGTCTGCTTCGGGGAACGAAAAGGGGCTTTTCTTTGAATTATCTATATTATAAGCTTGTGCCCGCCAAAAGTCTTCCGTTCTAACACAGTGGCTTTCTGAATCTTGCATATAGCTCAATAAACTTATCACTGCCAAGAGAGAGTTGCTGAGTGTAACTGGACCAGGGGTCTGACAGGGAGGGGCCGAGGCAGAGCATTTGCTTGACATGAGAAGGTCTCGTGTTCAATCCCTGGCATCTCCAGCTAAAAGGATCAGGCGATAGGTGATGTGGAAGACCATTCTCTACCTGAGACCCTGGAGAGCCACTGCCAGTCTGAGGAGACAATACTGACTTTGATGGACCCAGGGCAGTATAAGGCAGCTTCATGTGTTAGGCATGTGCTAGGCTTCTGGAGCTGAAAGAGTGACATTTTGGTACATCATCCATTTCCTTATTGTTCACCCCAGAAGTAAAGGAAGCAGACTAACATGCAACATTTGCAGATATATACCCAGTTTGCTTCACTTGCATGACGTAGCCAGAGTATATCACAATCTGGTGGTGAGCTGCAGTGTTCATGCCCAAGAACTCTGAACCTGCTGTTTGTTCCTCAACTGAAGGTAGCTTGCCTGTGATCCATCAGAGCCTGTTCTTTCTCCCTTGTTGCACCTACTTCATGGAACAGATTTAGGATTGCCAGCTCTGGGTTGTGAAATACCTGGAGATTTTTTTTGGGGGGGGGTGAAGGCAGAGGCGGGCAGGAGTTGGGGAGGGGAAGGGTTAATGCCAGAGAGTCCAGCTTCCAAAGCGGCCATTTTCTCCAGGTGAACTGTTCTCTGTCAACCTGGAGAATAGTTGTGATCCCAGGAGATCTCCAGCCTCCACCTGGAGGACGGCAACCCTTCCTAAGACTGTCCCTTCCTAGGACTGTAGTGCAGTCTTCAGAAAGTTGTTTCAGGGGACATTTCAGTGCCATTTTATTTATCAGGGGAGTTAGCACAGATGGCAGGCATCTTTGGGAGGAGAGGGAGAGATGGGGTTTTATTTTGTATATTTTAAGTTGAGATGATTTTAATTCATGATCTTTCAAAAGTCAAAGCTCCCTATGTCAGACATCTGATGAACAGAGCTTTGACTCTCCAAAGTGTCGATGTTAACGCGGTGCTAGCCCACTGCAGGGTGTGCATGGGTGTGAGAGTATCAAATAAGACTTGAGTCTTCAAGGCTTAGTGTAAAAGCTATTTACAGTTTATTCACACAAGCCACCACCAAATTATTGCACAGACCGACAAAATGCTTACACAGACACCAGATATTCACAAGAAGATAGATTACACTGTGCATTGACCAATCAGGTCCAATGCTGAGTCATGGCTAATTAGTTCTGCCAGGAACCAGCCAGAACCGGTTGGAACCAGCTCTTCAGACACTTAGAGCTGTCAGCTCCTGTCACTTAGATGCATCTGATCTACAGCCAGACTTAACTGAACATTAGAATGTTAACACAAAGCTCATACCTCCCAAAATCTTGTTGGTCTCTATGGTACTACTGGACTTGAATCTAGCTGTTCTACTGCAGACCAACAAGGCTACCCTCTGAGAAATAGCTCATTTCTGTCCTTTCTTCTGCAGCCTCCTCCAGATGGAGAGCTCAGGCTGCAGACAACAGGCAGAAGAGACAACTCTTCTGTTCAACTGGGCTTCTGATCACCGGGCTGCAGACAACAGGGGCAGTCTCTTCTGTTCAACTGGGCTTCTGATCACCCCTCCCCCTGCTAAATTTGCTGAATCTTAGCAAGTCCAGAAGGCAGCAAAGTTTCCAGGATAGGAGATCAGAAGAACCAAACTTCCAGCCGATGAGCTGGTAGTCAGCTCCCAGTTCCACCTCCCTAAAAAAGCATGAGATCAGAAGCCGACTCCCAGCTGATCCCTCATCTTCTGATGGCTGTAAATAGCCTCTTCCTGTGAACGAACATGAATAGGCTGCGAACAACTGAACAGCCTGTTGATTAATTGGCTGTCTGATCAGTACCAGTGGATAGGAAGGGAGGGAGCCAAACTGGTAGGTGTTAGAGCATCCCTGGCCTTCAGTCCCTCTGTGAGCTCTAATGGAAAAAGCAAAGCTCAGCTCCAATGAATATCTCAGATGAACATTTTACGTGTAAACTGCCTTGAGCAGGGCTCTGAAGAAGTGGCATAGAAATATTCCAAATAAATAAATTTGGCCTGACGGTCACGGTGACAGTAGTGAAGATTTTCCTGCATTTCATTATTCTAGGATCTTGAATTACACGCCTGATATGAAAGCAGCTGATGTGGACAGAGCCATTCAAAGGGCACTCAGTGTCTGGAGCTCTGTGACTCCTCTGACATTTACGAGGATTCATCAAGGGACAGCAGACTTGAAGATTGCGTTTGCAACTGGAGGTAGTCTATTCATGCTACAAGCACAATAAGATTCATTAACATCCTGGCCCGTTATGATGGTGTTAATAATCATTCTTCTCCTCAGTACATGGCCGCTGTCCTCAGCCCTTTGCAGGGGCCTTCCCAGCCCTCGCACATGCTTTCCCCCCGGGCTATCCTTTCCGTGGAAACGTCCACTTCAACGAGGATTACAACTGGGCTGCTGATTCAGATAGTAAGTTTAAAAAATCCTTTGCTGAAATAATATCTCAACGTGGATTTTTTTTAAAAAAAGATGGTAGCATTTTTATTATCACACAAAGAAAAAGGAAACATTTTACTGTGCAAAGGCCCTCCTGCACTCTCCTTTTAATCCATGTTCACCATGGTGTCCTCCAAGCAATTCTGCACTAAAATCAGATTCAACCTTCTTTTTAATCCAGTTTTTCCCCCCATTCTGCACTAAAATCGAGTTCAACCTTTTCATTCCGAGGTCCCCCCCCATTCTGCAGTACATTCCCCTTCAGTGGTCAGCCCAGTTTCAGCCTGCTGTTGCCCTGAGTTATTTGGATGCTGTTTTGGCATGAACTTAAATTGCCTTGACTCAAACACTGAGAAAATCCAGAGTGGCAGGCAAATGTGGAAAGGACCAAAGGCTGCCTCATGGCCTTCTGTGACCCTACCCTGATTAAGTGAAGGATGCCTTTCCAGACAACACATCTTAGAAATTTTAGCCTGGTCCTTACCCATTGCATTCGGTTCTTTGTCTTCCTGATCGCAATGGGGCCTCCATGGAATTCCCGTATTCTTGCTTTATGATATACAGATAAAACTATTGCAACATATAATCTTTGAATAAACTGACGTGTTGAAATTTAATTTGGACGTATTTCTTTTCCAGCTGAAGTGAATAATTCACCATATCTAATGAGTAAGTAAATAAGCTACTTGGTAAGTAATGTATTTAAGTATTCCCATTAACTATGTATGGGTGTGAAAGCTCCTCAAATGAAGAAAGCTGACAGAAAGAAAGTTGATTCATTTGAAGTGGGGTGTTGGAGGAGAGTTTTGCAGATGCCATGGATCAAATCAAACGTGAACTCTTCCTAGAAACTGAAATGACTAAACTGAGGCTATCGTGCTTTGGTCACATTCTGAGAAGACAGGAGTCACTGGAAATGGTAATAATGCTAGGAAAAGTTGAAAGAAGCGGGAAAAGAGAAAGACCCAACAGGAGATGGACTGACCCAGTCAAGGGAGCCATGGCCCTCATTTTGCAAGACCCGAGCAAGGCTGCTAATGATAGGATGTTTGGGAGGTTATTAATTCATAGGGTCTCCATAAGTCAGAAGTGACTTGATGGTACATCACACACACACAAGTCACTTATTTGTCAAAATATTAACTTAGAAATATGCCTAATGGAATTCAGTAGAATTTACTTCAGGGACTTGCTTAAAATCAGGCTACCTTCTAACTTCTATATATAATTTTTTTTCCAGGATTCAACTTGTTCCTTGTTGCTGCTCATGAGATTGGCCATGCTCTTGGGCTTGCACATTCTGATGACCCACGAGCACTGATGTTCCCATACTTCAAGTCCACTCTCTCTGTTGATTTCCCTCTCACCCAAGATGATATTGATGGCATTCAAGCAATCTATGGTAAGAAGGAATAAATAAGCCCTAAAAAGAAATAATAACCAAACAATAACCAAGGTTAATTTATTTGATTTATTTTTATTTTATTAAAATCTTCCTCTTATCTGTATTAAATTCTTCCTCTTATCTTTAGGAATGCTCATGCATCCAGCAGTTCAGCCACTGGTGAACAGGGAACCATTTTTTTAAACAGGCTTTCTATTTGCTCACCAGCAGATTGGTGGCTGTTCAGCAGGTTGTCAGTGCAGTGTAGCACAACCAGCTTTGCATGCATACACATTCTCAGACAGACCAGTTGAGTTCTACTTCCCCGGTCCATACAGCACTGCATTGCTCCACTCAGCAAGCAGCTATTTAAACAGACAGATAAATCAGTCACAAATCATGTAAATTGGTGCTAAATAAATGCTTCAGTTTTAAAAGGAAAATCCTACCATTTTGTGTTCAGCTAAGTAGTCCTTAGCCAAGCTAATGGCCGCTGATCTGTTAGGCAGTGTTTTCACCCCTGCAAACCTGTTCAATAGGAATTTGAGTCACTGGGCTGCTCCACATTCTCATCTTCCTCACTTGTGTGTTCCTGTTGTTTGGGGGGGGGGTCTGTTTCACATGTGTTTTGCTCTCTCTAGTGACCAATTTGATATTACATCACTTTCTGTCTGATATAAAAACCTGCAGTTTATATCTGCAGGGAGATATGCCAGACATAAAGCGTTGTAATATTGAATCGACCACTAGAGGGAGGAAGAGGAAATGAGCACAAGTGAGGAAAATGAGAATGTGGAAAAGCCCATTCAGCAGAGAACTGAACAGACTCAGTGACTAGCTCACATCTGTTTGTCATAGTCAAACAAGTAAATTTGACTGTCGAACACATTCAACACAAAATTCACAGCATTCTCAACCTATTCTAGGACCTTCACCTCACCCACCAAAGGAGCCAGTTAAACCAACTTTGCCTAAGGCCTGTGACCCTAAGACATCATTTGACGCTGTCACTACGCTGAGACAGGAAGTTATGTTCTTAAAGGGCAGGTAAACACAACTGAGTGTTTTTTTTCTTTATTGTTTTAATGAATTAAAATATTTATTTGCTAGGACTTTTCAATGAGGTTTAGGCTGCAGGAATTTTTGTAGAGAGGGGGGTTAGTTGGGATTATATTGTACATTACATGTTTTAAATTTGGGTTTATAAGCCCAAAGAAAAGGTGATATATAAATATTTAAATCAATAAATAGATAATATCTGTGATTACAGTAATTCCCAATTACTCTCCTATGACCAAAGTCTTCCAGAAAAGCACTTCATTATACAACAAACAAGAGAGTTTTTCATCCCAGGGCCAGATGACATTACGGATTTTTCACACAATCTCACCTAATCCCCATCCCCTGTGATTTTTGTCCATACATGTCCCTTGATCCTCAACATGGCATTTTGTTGATTAAAGGGGACATGCACACCCACTACACTCTTTTTCACTAATAGTAAAGTTGCTGATCCTGCTATTTACACACAAAAGAATACAAATTAAGTTGAAAGAACTCTTTTGCTTTTTATTAACACAGAATGAGGCACAATTAGTCTAGCAACTATGTTACCAGATTCAGGTGGGTAGCCGTGTTGGTCTGAAGCAGCAGAACAAAGTTTGAGTCCAGTGGCCCCTTTAAGACCAACAAAGCATGCACGTGGAAGCTTATACCTCAAATAAAACTGTGTTGGTCTTAAAGGTGCCATGGACTCAAATGATGTTACTGTTATATGTAATTATGGTGAGGTTGGATTTTACAGCCAGCTAGTAAAAAATAATAGTTGGCAACCATGCCAAAATTTGTATGATAGACAGGCCAGTAGATAAATATT